TTAAGATGAAACTTCTCCTAATGATTCAGGCTCCAGTAGTTTTCATATTGTTTGAATTCTGACAGTTCTTAAAATCAGACCTACACAATATAGCACTTGTTTACAGTCATGGGTTCATAGAATTTGAGATTCATAGTACCTTAGAAATGGTATGCTTCTACGTCTCTCATTTTAGAGGTAAGAAAGTTGAGGCCCAGAGCTGCCAGTCCAAATGGACTAATTAAGTACTTGCTTTTATCTCTGCTTCCTCACAAATCAAACTAAAATAAGAGTAAAGGGACTTTTTAAAGGCATAAATCCACAAAGCCAGAAAGAATAAATGAAGAGGTGAGGCAGACGAGATGTTAACACTTGGAATGATGGAAAACACTTGGAAGAGTATAGCTGACTCAGCAGAGGGGAAAGGCTGTGCCAAAACTGCCTTTGGAGGGGTCGCCAATAACAAGCATGGAGATCGGATTGGAGGCATTAGAGATCTTAGACAACCACCTTCCCATCCCTTCTCTGAGTCCATGATACCAGGAGACTCCCTGCTTCCCTTCCCTTCCCTAGCCTCCTCCCTGCTAGCAGAACCTCTTCCATTTTGCTCTCTGCTGAGATTAAATCATAAAAGATCTATGCTCAGGAACATTAGGTACATGAGTGAATGCTGAACTGGAGAACAATGGAATTAAGTGAGAACCTGTATTCCGAGCAAGAAAGATCCCCTTCCCCCTCTTCAGCCCCTTCCCAGAATGTATGAAACCAGACAGGAGTCTTAAAAAATCCTCTTACAGGAAATTGACCAAAGAAAAAAGACCTACAGAGATTGAAATCTCAGCATCCTCCAATGACACTGCTGGCTACTGCAATTACCCTGCAATGAAGCCTATAGAATAGATCATTAAGCCTGACTCAACATGCTTCTCGGTGTCTCCACACACGAATGATAGCCAACAGTCACTAGATGTGAAATGAAAAGGAACTTGGAGAATCAGTTATAATACAGAGGGCAGAAGAAAATTTCAGTGGAACATAATTAATTTCCTCAGAGAGAAGAAAGACAATATTGCATCTGTGAAACAAGAGCACAGTGCTATTAACATGAAGCAATAAAAGAGATGAGAAAGAGCTCTTAAAATTAAAAAAATATATATAATAATAACAACTTAATAATCAATAAAATATTTGAAGAATATAAAGTAAGCCTACATTTAAAAACATAAATAGGGAGTATGAGAAAAGAAAACACTCAATCTCGAGAGAAATTCCAGAAGGTATAGATAAAATCAGATTGAGAAAATTATCAAAGGAAAAGAATTTCCAATAACTGAAGAATATATTTTCAAGATTGAAAGGGGAACCCAAACTATCTAGCACAATGGATGAAAGACCCACACCCAGGCGCATCCTGAGATTTCAGAAGCTCTGAGAAATCTTCCCGAGGCAAAAAGTCAAAGAACTAGAAATCAGGATGGATTAGACTTCTCGGAAGCAATGCAGGATTGCCAAACACAGTAGATCAATGTCTCCCACATTTTGAAGGGAAATAATTTTCATCCTAAAAGTTGATCCCTAAAAGAAAAAAGGAATTAAACATTAAAATTATGACCTTTTGTTAGACATTTCAGGTCTTTTTTACTTCCTGTATCAATCTATCTGTTGCAGCCCTATTAGCATTTCAAGGACCTGTAGTCATGCTATTGGCCACTGGCCATGCCTGAATGACATGTGCTAATAATTAATCTAGTCGTGTTTTAGGGTCTGAAACACACTGTGGGCCAGCCTGGGCCATCCTGCCAGCATTTTTTTGCTTAGTTAGTAATGGAGCTAGATGTGTCTTATAAAGAAATCAATATTAAGAATTAGAGTACTTAGGTTCCTGTTCC